AATCTTGAGGACCTGCTCTTGTGACTTAGGTCTAGGGGTTGGCCTCACCCGGTGTTTACGAGCTCCCTTGTGAAACAAAATGTCGTCTACGGGAACTAACATGGGTGTTTTCCCTTTCTTGGTGCTAGTCCCCCCTTTCTTGCTCACTTTCTCCACTGAACAAGAAAAATCAAAGTAAAGAATGCAACTTGTTAAAAGAAAGAGGGGGCGAAATGAAAGATACAACTTACTTGCTCGTCTTTGGCACTCCGACACTAGGGGTTGGAAACCGTACTTTCGAAACAAAGGCCGTAACTTGCCCAAATGTCTATCCTCCTTAGGCACCTTTAACACCTTTTCTACATCAGCCAGCTCCCGTCCGGACAATTTGATGTTGCCTCGCGTCACTGCATGAAGGAAAATGTTAGACGCAAGAAGAAATCACAACAAATAGCAAACAATGCGAACAATGGATACATTACAACCTACGGTCTGGAAGTGAGTGAGAACATGTCGCTCAGGCGTGACACCCTAACATGCTCCCAATCATTATAAAGAAAGCACAAACGATTTTTCCAAGTGCAGTACGCCTTTTTCTTACCAAAGACAATACGCTCTTTCTCACTCCGACATGCACACTAAGCATTCCCAGGGCATGCTTTCATCGAGCGCATCTTATAGCAGTAGCGCCACTGATGGAAGGAAGGCTCACCTAACCCACATTCCATCCAAATAATATAAAACCCGATCAAGGTATCCCAAAAATCAGGATTGAGTTGCCCAAGCGCATATCCAATGAAAGATAGCATCCGTTGCAACCAAGGGTGCAAAGGCAACTTCACCCCTAAGGTCAATAATATTTGGGTATAAAACATAACATGACCCTTGGGTGGTTCAGAGGGCAATTCTTCATGATGTACCAAATGCATTCCTACACTGCGGGGGATACTACATAACTGCCTTAGGGCCTCAAGTTGTTTTTCGCTATCTAACAAGTTTTTCTCTAAATGGTCCGCTGTGAACTAAAAGCGAAATATGGGTATGGCGTCAAAAACAACCCCCTCACCCACTGACATGAAGGAGGAAGAACCAATATTGGCTAAGGTTTGACAATTGCGAAGATCATCCAATGTTTCTTTTGTACAAGACTCCAACAAAGGCCCTGAAGACTCCAACATTGCAAGCTCAAACCTAGAGCTAGAGCTAGGGGAAACCTCATCACTAAGACTTCCAGACTCTGACATCTACAATAAACAGAAACAAACTCTATCACTACATGGAAGATTGAAACATAAGGAAGTTCCTAGGGCATGAAGAAAAGCTTAACCAGTTCATCATGTTCTCAACCAAATACATGAACACTTAAACAATTCAACAAAAATGAAAGCATGCAATCTAGTGGAGAAGACTACCAACCTGAAGATGGTGCAAAGCAATGCCAGAATCCCTCTCAACTAGAGAACACTCTGCCTCCAAAGATTACTACAAAATGAGCAAATGAAGGCAATATAAAGAGTGGAAACGTATCCTTCTTATATAAGTTCAACAGGATCAAAGAAATTCAAAATTCAAATTCAAACCATGAGAAAGCCCCACATGGAAAGTCTAGGGAGTTTCAAACTTCAAATTTTCAATTCCCCCACTCCCAAAAAAAAAAAAAAAAAAAAAAAAAAAAAGGAGGGGGAACACATCAACTTCATCAATGGAAGACAACTACAATTCTCAAAAGATTCACACACTCTTGATCAAGATAGTGTGAAGCAAAATCAATTTATAGTGCCCAACGAAAGCTTCACCTACAAAACTTCAACATCAAACAAAGCTTCATCAATGGAGAGCAACTACAATTCTCAAAAGCTACACACACTCTTGATCAAGATAGTGTGAAGCAAAATCAATTTATGGTGCCCAACAAAAGTTTCACCTACAAAGCTTCAACAACAAAGTTTCAACATCAAACAAAGCTTCATCAATGGAGAGCAACTACAATTCTCAAAAGCTTCACACACTCTTGATCAAGATAGTGTGAAGCAAAATCAATTTATGGTGACCAACACAAAGCTTCAACACAAAAGCTTCACCTACAAAGCTTCAACAACAAAGCTTCAACATCAAACAAAGCTTCATCAATGGAGAGCAACTACAATTCTCAAAAGCTTCACACACTTTTGATCAAGATAGTGTGAAGCAAAATCAATTTATGGTGCCCAACAAAAGCTTCACATACAAACTTTCAACACAAAAGCTTCACCTACAAAGCTTCAATACAAAAGCTTCAACACAAAAGCTTCACCTACAAAGCTTCACCTACAAAGCTTCAACATCAAAGCTTCACCTATTAAAAAACAAATATTTTCGAGAACCAGATCCCCAGCAAGATTATTTGTTCCAAAAATCGAAAAGGCACCGCTCTCCAAACTTCGAGAGCCAAATTTCCTTGGATAAAATTTGTCTACAATCTTCACACGCAACATCAGCTTTCTGGATACCACAGACCACTTTTTCAAAGTGCTCTAACAAATTTAAAACACGTGAACCTTGTAGCGACCATTACATTACTTTGACAGAGAAGGGTAAAGGAGCAGCATTACTACTCGCTGTTGGGACAATTCCTATATATGTCGACCTCCATCCTCCATAGCCAGGCATACCTGCCAAAAAATGCTCAACCCTTCCTCACATCCGAAATGGCACTCCCAATCTAGCCTCTCGAAATACTATGTTTTCTTCCCCCTCGATAATACCTCTGCCAACCAGCCACATCAAAGCAAGAATATGTCATATCATCAAGGTTGAAAGCAAGAGTATCCCATATCATGCTTTTTCCCTGTCTTTTCCCTTGCCCTTACTCTTACCTGCAAGATAAGGAAAAAAAGAGCAATCAACCAGCGCTTGGAATCAAGCTTCCAGTCAGGAACTGACTGCCTAGAACTCCTTGCCTGATTACTTACCTAGCATTGCTCTCGAGTATTCATCTTCAACATCTTGTGCTTCTAGAGAAGATACCACATCTGCCCGGGGAATAGATAGGGCAAATGAAAAGGATACAAAGAAGCATGTGGAGACAAGCGCAACAGAACACGTGCCAATTTATCTATACTTTGTCAAAAGCAAGAGTATCCCATATCATGCTTTTTCCCTGTCTTTCCTTTTGCCCTTGTTGTTACCTGCAAGACAAGGAGAAAGAAAGCAATTAGTTGGAATCTGAAATCAAACTTCTGATCTAGAACTGATTGCCCGAACCTTTGCCTGGGTGCTTACCTTACATTGCTCTCGAGTACTCATCATCGCTGAGAAGTAATGTTCTGAAAGACCATTTAAATGCAAAGGTTGCATTCCACTCCTGCATCGGGAGGCAGATACTGCAAGAGATTGAAACAGAAGGTTCAACGACGAGCTGGAACAGATCACTACAGCACGACGCCCTTCCTGTAGAATCGCACAATCCAGACGGAAGAGTTTAAGTCAAATCCAAGCTCAGAATCGTTGCTCTAATTGAAGAGATCGAGAAGCTTCAACAGCCTTTTGCTAACACCGTCACCGAAGAACAAAGCCTCTCCATCTCACATCCACTACTTTGTCAACAACAGAAGTATCCCACATCATCAAGATCGAACGTACTCCAGATTTGACGGACTTGTTTTGACCCTCAAATTCTTGAGTCAGCTCGCTCCTCTGGAGGAAACCAGAAAACCCGCCGGCCCAGTTCAAGAATACGCCTGTGGAAAGTCAACAAGTACAACAAAGCACGTGCCGATTCATTCGTCTTCTCCAAAAACAAGAGTATCTCATATCATCTCTGCTCCCCGTCATTTTCTTTGTCCTTAGTGCTGAATGAGAGACAAAAAAAAATGAGAACAATCAGCCAGAACCCGAGATCAAGCTTCTGATCTAAGGCTGATTGCTTGGAACTCTGATTGCTTACCTTGTCTGTTACCTCTTTCGGCAGATCTCCTTACTCAGAGACTTGGGGGACTCTTACTATAGGGTTTGTATTGCACTTGACCAAGCCTGAAACTACAAGTAAGCTTCAAATGAAAATGATACATTACCTTGTGCATCAACATCAGCTAAAGATACCATTCCTGGATGGAGGAAAAGTATTTCCAGAGAAGAGGCCACATCTACCTATAGGGTAGAGGTAAGTGAAAATGTTATCACGCTTCAATACTTAGAAGTTTCGCGATTACTCAATGGCTTGGATCTTGCAAGTCCCCAACTAAGGAGTTTCCCTCACTCGGGAACTTAGGGGAGCACTGTTTGAACCATACTTGACCAATCCCGAAACTACTGAGCACCGGTCAACAGTACACCGTCAAGGACCCACAAGACTTTCCCTCCAACCAGGAGGTCAATGACAACGCGACACATGTCGGTATCAGAGGCCAATCACAGGGGGAAGTCCCGAAAGGTATACGAGTGCGCCTCTCGTAGACGAATACCGACTCAGTCCGCAGTCCGATGGTGACTTTTGTTCTACTGCTATCATCAAGCTTGGACATGGTGCAACACGTGTCGATATCAGAGGTCAATCACAGCATAACACGTGTTAATGTCAGAACAAAGCTAGAAACTCTCTTCTATAAAAGGGGATCATTCTCCCACAATAATCTCTAATGTTATTTGTACTAAACTATTCACTAGAACTCACTAAAAGAGAGCTTGAACCTATGTATTTGTGTAAACCCTCCACAACTAATGATAACTCTTCTACTTTGTAGACGTAGCCAATCTAGGTGAACCACGTACATCTTGTATTGTTTGCTTCCCTGTCCCTATTCATTTACATACTTATCCACACTAATAACCAGAACAATCTAACGAAGGTCACAAACTTGACACTTTCTGTTGTACTAAAATCCTCGCCAATTTTGTGCATCAACAATACTCATCATTTGAGTAGCCATCCTACATTTGAATACAAGGATGGGTACAATATAAATAAGTGTACATAGGATAAGAAAAAAGAGTGGTCAACTTCACTGAGCCGACCAACATATGTCGCCGTAGACGGTAAGTAGTGCTCGAAAGGTAGCTAGCATTCCCCTTAAACAAATTAAGTTCGAATAACCATCCTCAAACGAAATGCAAGGAGCAAAACTTGTACCAAACCAATTTAGCAAAACTTATAAGTGGAAGAACAAAGTCTCCCCTCTTACCAGTTCTCTTTACAGCTACTCCACGTACATACATATTTCAGACACATACATCTAGCCTCACACCTTATTCCTACAGGTTTCAAAGAATATTACAATGATAACGGCTAAAATTTTTAATTTACCAACCAAAACTACCGTTGGTAACCCATAGCTACTACTGGGATCCTCACTTTGTGCCCCCGGCTACCTTTCATTATCACCTCTCCGAAACTGTAGGCTCCAGTGATGGACCGAACTGTCAGAGTCACTGAGAACTTTCGTGATGCACCAGGTCTCAGAGTCATTGCCCGAGGGCTGGCTTCAATGGCAATGGCTGGAGCCATTCTGGTTGTGATCACATAGGTTTCTTCTTCAGCAACATTTGTGACCATGCGTGTAACTGTTTGACTTTTCACAAGATGAGCTACTGTGATTGACGGAGAGTTGAAATTTGACGGGTGGCCCATAGTGTAGTTGCAGGGGGAGTTTGTGTAGTTCTTTATCTCATTAGAATTAATACCAGCTGTTGTACACAAGAAACCCAAGTAATCCTGATAGCCTAAAATTAAAAAAAACGATAAGTTATTCGATTGAGAATTCGTCACATAATGTGCCAAAGATAAGTCCGATAGTGTAAAACCACATCAAGAAGGTAGAAGAATACATACCCGCATCAAAGATTAGTCCAGGATCCAGAGCAGCTTTTGGATCAACATGGCCACTCCCATAATCAAAAGGGGTGGCACTGACAAACTTAATGGTTTGTGTTTCAGAATATTGTTGTGCTTGAAGAGGTTTTCCAGCCCTGTCGATAGTTGTTGATGTTGTCATCAAAGCTGATTTGATGGCAGCAGGGCTCCAATGAGGGTGCTTCTGCTTTACAAGAGCAGCTATTCCCGCTATATGTGGTGCAGCCATACTTGTTCCAGAAATCATGGCAAATCCCTCCCCTGCTCAAAGAAAATAATCCCTTAATATGTCAAGTGCATCACTAGAGGTACAATTGTTATTGACTTACGTTTAATTAGACGGCGTGAAGGAAAGAAATCTGAATATCTTCCCCTTATTTTCTAAGCAAAACAAGCATATCTCTCCAATATTTTCATAACCTATTTCAGAATTTGAAACCTAACAAACCTCTTTGTAACTAAAGTTTGATAGACGGCTAAGTACTAAAACATCTGGGGAAAGTTTGGAACACCAAAATATGGGGAAAGAACACTTGAATGCTTCGATTAGATTCATACCAACATAATTTGGTTCATCTGTTCCATTTGGAGACCAAGCAGCCCAAATCAGAGAACCAGGAGCTAGAATATCCGGTTTGAGAAGATCTGCTTCTTGGAAGCTGAAATCTTTGATGTTGGGTCCTCTAGCAGAGAATAGTGCCACCTGTGGTGCAGACTTGTGGAGTATAGGCATCAAACCATTCCCAATGCTACCTATACCTTTGAAGCTCTTCACACGACCAGTCCAATCCCTAACAGTTGAGATGTTGTAATAATCTATAAGATCCTGAACAACATCGACGCCAGAGCACCAAGAACCAATCGTGCACATAATTGCAGAAAGGGAAAAAGTTAGAACATGCATAAGAAGGAAACGGGGCCAAAGACATAAATAGTAGTACAAGTAAGTTGTAATAGATGGTAAGCACCGTAAGTTATCAGACAGTATCAAGCTCATATGCTACAAAGAAATGACAAAAATGGATTTTATTTTATTTTTCTTGTCAAAGAGGTCAAAGACAAATGAATTTGCATGAGCATAATATACACTCATATGCTACCGTAGTAAATCTAATTTCACAAAACACTTGAAGAATGTTCCATACTCTATTACTTGATTACAAGAAATCAAAATGTATAAGCCAAAAAAATAGACACCGTTTCGTTAAGGTGAAAAGTTGAAGTATTACCATTGACTTTTCAACATCAGTGATTAGAATCCCAGGAACGCCTACAGGAACAGGATCAAATTTTGTCCCCGGGGAAACATTTTCCACCGCAAGAACAAAACCGATTGCACCAAGACTTTTGGCTGTTTCGGACACTTTCTTGATTGATGCAGTACCAACAACGAAATTAAATGAATAGCCACAAAGAAGAATATTCCCCTGAACCAAGTTCTTGTTTAAAACTTCTGGTTTCTGGCAGTCTGAGGAGCTATACTTCACTACAGAAGAATCAAGAAGCACATCATTTGCAGCAACCAGCGTGTATGTTTGATTTGGATGTGTCGATGCTGAAAAAAGGGAAACAGAGGGGAGAATACTTCAGGCTTCGGAAATGCGAAATTGTAGAATGTGAAACAGCGATTGCCTTGGAATGCAAAAAGCATGTATCAAAAAAATACAAGCGATAACTGCTGTAAATTGAAGTGGTCGCAAGATAACACAACCGTGGAATGCTCCAGGATCCATGTCGAGGCATTACAAAATTCAACCTGAAATCAAACATGTCTGATTCATGCTAATGAGGCTGTCTTTTATTAGGCCTTTACCATTTTCACTGGTTACGATGCATTAAGATTAAAGTTAGGGTTGTTGGCTTAAATAAAGGTCTACCTGTTAGAGCTGATTACCAAAGTATATGTCCTGGAATCCCAAATAAATCATCGTACTGCTTTCATTTGAATCTTAAACACAACCACGCTTATCTCCCTGTTTGAAACTTACTTTTCAACATGGTATCAGAGCAATATTGTCCTGATATCTAAACCCATTGCTGTTCTTACCCTACTTTGACCACAACAAAGAGAAAAATTGGACAACTTCTCTATTGTTGCTATGCCACAGGTTCCACTACGTCTTCATCAAGATCTCTTATCAGTTCTTGGCTTATTTACTTTGGTCCTTGTGGAACGAAGGGATTTCCCCTTCTAATCTATGTTACAAATGAGCCTAAGCTGTCCACATTTTTCTGAAAACCTCATAAACATACTGTTATTCTATTTGCAGCAAGCTGAGAATTGTCAATACTCATTCTACAAGTTGAGGGAGAGTCTATAGATTGATTACAAGTCATTTAGCTTAATGGCTACCTATTAGAGTTTAGCCTAAGTCAGAACTGTTAGCTTGAACTAAAGTCTGGGTTACATAGCTGATTAACAAAGAAATTTTTTTCCACGAGATTATGAAGAAAGCATTTAAGTTACTGATGAATCTGCTACTAACAATATGCTAGAAGAACATAACTAAATACTTTTGCTCCCAAAACAGATACTTACGTGACAACCCAAGTCCAGCTAATATTTTTCCATTTCCAAGTGTTAGGTGGTTTTTGTATCTGCGATCATCAATGGCGGCAGCAACAGAAGCTATCCAAGGACTATAAGAAACCAAAGTTTTTGGAAAAGGTCCTCCATTTCCAGCTGCTTGTGCAACAAACACACCTGCTTTCACAGCTGAAAGAAGTGTGGCATCAAAAGGATTCAAATAAGTGGTCTTCGTGGTAGCTGGAGGACTGTTTGGCCCCACAGAAAGGCTCAGTATATCCACTCCATCATACACAGCCTGATCAAAAAAAAAATGTTCAAATAAGAACCACCATAGCGACCAAAGGTAATAACCCAAAAGAATGTAAAACTAGTTGGCAAGGCAACATCTATCTGTTTCATCTTCAATGAAATATGTAAGCAGTCACCAACTTAAACCTTTTAGCCTCTTTTTTCTCTAAGATGATGGAGATGTGACAAGAGGACAAACTAGAAAATACTCTTTTTTTTTCTCTTATCTCTAAAGAATACATATTGATAGAATTTTGCAGAGTGAGCAGGAAGATATATCTGCATGTGCTCATACCCACACGTAAAAAAGACACCCACACACGCTCAAATGTACACAAAAATAAGTGCACCAAGCATTCACCCAATGTCTTTTGCTCATGTTATGGAATTATTGCACACCTGATCAATTGCGGCTACTACATCTGCTACAAACCCTCCAAAAAGCCTGTAAAGGGCTTTATATACAGCAATTCTGAAGACAGAAATTTATGCATCTCAATTAAAAGAAAGAATAACATTTACTACTTTAATTCAAGAAATGACCAGAGGAACTTATTATTCCTCACCTGGCACGGGGAGCCATCCCACTTGCTTTCCCAAATTCATGACCATGCATTCTCACTGGAATTCCATTATTACCAGCTGCAATAGCTGCAGTGTGACTGGAAGACAATGATACAAAAAGAGGAAACGAGCTTCAGATAGAAAAAAAAATCTCAATTGACACAAGCAGGAAGGGGAAAAGGAAAAGGAAACAAAAAATTTATGTTAGGATAAATGTTGCCTAAAACGAAAGCAAAATAGTTTCTGCCAATTCCAAGAAGTAGGAACCAGGAACTTTTATGGATGTCACAGTTTTCCTTTTCTGAACAGTGAAACCCCAAAAGTTACATCTTCTGTAAATCCATCATAGTTATAATTTTACAATATTTTATCAATACGTTAGCATAATGCTATGCTCATATTCATTGAAATGTATGTCATTTAAGAAATGTCCTTATCTCTTATTCACAGAAGAAAGTATAAAACATTTTGTTATTTGTGGACGAGTATCTAAGCTTACTAACTGAATTCCCCAATTGATGCCATTCATGGTATGGCATTCACCGATGCCTATTAAGCTTACTATTGGATTCCCAATTGTGTTAAACTTACCAAGAAATGTACTTATCTCTTTACTTCTTTGAAACTACTTTGTTTCTTTAAATTTATGAAACACTTATATAAACCAAAAATATCCATTCAGAATGAAAGCAAATACACAATAGCACAGGTTCCCGTGAAGAACGTGTAACAGAGGTGTAGGGCCTAACCTTCCATGTCCATCACCGTCCATAGGAGAGGCAAAATCAATAGAAGGATTAAATACTCCAGCTGCTATTGCAGCTTTGGCAAAATGGTGAGCTCCAATAATCTTCCCATTACAGAAGCTCCTCTTGGTGTCTGGATCAACTTCACATTTACCTCTATACTTTGGAACAGGCCCATAAGGATCGGTATTGTGGTTCGCAAAGCTTGGATGGTGCGGATAAATCCCTGAGTCCACAAACCCTATCACAATATCTTCTCCAGCCCTATCGGAGCCACCTCCTGTCGGCCATACTCCGGTTGGGAGCCCTAAAAACTGTGGGGTGTGGGTTGTAAGTCTCCTCACCTTCCAATCTCTCTCCACTGATTTCACACCAGGAGCACGCATCAATCTTTCTGCCTACTAATGAAAGGAACAGCGTAAGAAAATGAGAATGTAAGAGAAGACATCAATATCAGTCATTCATATAAGCATTATAAGAGGAAGTGTCTGTCCAAGTTGTCACCTGTTCATGAGAAATGTGGACAGCAAATCCATTAATAAGATGTTGATAGCTGTAGAGTTTTTGGTAGCTCCCTTCCTCAAACAACATGCCAAGAAGCATATCGTGTTTACTCTCCAAGTGTTGGGCATATGATGTGACTGATTCACTGAAAGAAGCCAAAAGAATGGCCAAAAGAGAACAAATGTTATTTATCAGTCCATTTCATGATTCAGAATCAGAGAGATAACTACCCCATTCGTGAAGGGAAATATCTGATCAAGTATATGATAGTTTAGGATGAAAGATGTGCACTTTATAGACAATGTCATATTGGAAGGCAATCTCTTTTTGGACAAAGTAACTAGTTGTATGTAAGCTGTCACATAATGGTACTGTATGAACATGTACATGACGCATAATTTGTTAGGAAAGAAATTGATGAAACTAATTACTATATCCCAACAACTACTTCAAACACGAAACATGTTGTAAGATTCACTTAAAGATCTAAGAAAGTCAGTTCACGAAAAACCAATTGATGGTAAGACTAAGCAATAACAAAGAAATTATTGCCATAATAAACACAAACAAAACAGATGACAGATTGTCGTGTGTAACTCTACTCTAACCTGTTAGGTCATTTCCTAAAAGCAAAATAGAATTGACAGTTCTATTTGTTGGATCCATTTTTTGATGGACTTTATCATCTTTTGTAAAAGGATCAATCAAATGTCAAATATTAACATATTATATAGAGGATTTGTGGCATTTCATATGATTTCACAGACGGTCCCAAAACATTGCTCTAGGGATGGTCGTAATTCTTTTTAAAAGATCTCCATCAATGTCATTAGATTCATACAATTAAATCATGCATGACTTTGACAGATTCTTGAATTTCATACAACCACCATCTGGCCTCAAGTAAACGCTCACAATTCTTTTTCTACTTCTGCAGCAATTAATATTTTTAAAACACCTACCTCTGTTCGTGCTGAGTGGTTATCATTTTAAAATAAATTGTTTGATAAAACGTCATCACTTTAAAATAATTATGGCAAACAATTAGTAAAAAAGAGCTAGACAATGTCCTGTCCTGTATGCAAGCAAAACCATTCATGGATGGATTAAGAAAGATATATCTCTGTTTGTACTGAGTTATGATTCTAATATAATTGAGCAAGAAAATAGCAGAAAAGTAAGCTAGACAGCATCAGGTCCTGCATGCAAGCAAAACCCGTTAACCCAAGCTTGCCTGGATGGATTGAGGTTGAAGTCACTATCACCGGGTCTACACTCCCAAAGTCGATATCTAGCTTAAAATTAGTTTACGTTTTACACACCTAAGCATATCCACGAACTTGTTTGTACATGATTTGACATTACAAAGCCTATGCAGAGTCAATCGAAGAACTAGAATTCATACAAACCAACAACACACAAGTTATTCAGAAAATTCTTTGGCCCAACAAAGATACCTCCGAAGTCTAAGACCCCACTTGGACTATAGAAACAATAACCACATAGAAATCTAATTTCAATGCTTTTGGGAATGGTCAAGACCTCCCAGGCTGCCTATGATTGGTTGGTAATAGGATAATATTCTTATCCAAGATACATACATGCATAAATAAATGCATAATTGTGTGTGTGTGAAGAATAAGATATATAAAGATACTTTGGAAAAAATCATGCAGAAATTTGAATATACCTAGTTGTGTCAATCTTTTCATCAGATTCCACTGCAGTGGCTTCAAATCCATCAACACCACCTTGGTAACTTATAATAGGCTCTCCTTCAATCGTCACGATGTAAACATCAGCTTTGCCAATAATTAAAAGGGAAAACAGTACAGCAACTGCGCACCCAAACTCCATGGCCACCATTTTTACCATTCAAGTATCCAACTTCACTACTCCACAAGATCTGAATCATCAGAAACACCGAGAGTCAATAATACGAATTGATCCTAAAGTAGGCTAAATTTAGAAAAACATAATAATTGACCACTACAATTACTAGGACCTGTGATTATTTTACACAATTGTGAGCTCAAAGAAAACAAAGTAATCAATTCCATTGCTTTCTTGGATAAATAAGGAAAAAAAATTGACTCGAAAAATTAGCTTAATATCCTTTTCGGTCGAGCCTTTCCTATGTTGTGGAGTTGAAAACAACACTGAATTTCAACTAATAAAAATCGAATTCGGGAAAGTAAAAACACCCAGAAAAACAAACCGAAATTAAAAATGTACCAAGTTGTGGTAAGTAAGATGAGATTGCACAAGTAATTAGAGTCTTAAAAAAGTGAGATTTTGATTAGCAAGCGAGTGAGTGAGTAGTAGCTGAGTGGAAGAAATAAGGCAAAGTAGCTTCAACATCACAGCAAGCACCAAAGCATTCCTTAATAAAAAGTCGCTTCCATTACTAAGCACCTTCAAAAAGCAAAACAATGAATCTCAAAAATTCCAAAAAAAATTATTAAAAATAATAAAAATCAAAATAAAAGCAACTTCTTTGTTATCGATCGAAGCAAGGAATAATCGGCCAACATATGCTGAACAAAATCAAAAGTGTAATTAAAAAAATGAAATAAAAATGGAAAGGGAGTGTTTGGTTACTTGCAGAGATCCAAAGGGGCGAATCGGACAGGGGAGAGTGAGGGAGCTGAGATTTACATCAAGGCTAACAATGGAGGGCTAAGATTTGATCAGAATGCGGAGTGCATTGCTTTGATTGCAGAGCTCTAGAGCTCGAGAGAGAGCTGGGAAGAAGCTGATCGACTTTCCAGTGAGTGAGTGAGTGAGTGAGTGAGTGAGTGCGCTTGTTAGGGTTTTTTTTTTTTTTTTTTTTTTATTTAAATTTTTTTTATCGAGGGGGAGACAGCAAGCCGCAGATGATGGAGGTAGGGATTAATTGTTAATTGCTCGGTAATGAAAGTAAATTTTGATTAATTTTGGGAGTAATCCTATTTTTTCCACAATTTTATACTACATTTCTTTACCATTTTATATGACAAATGAGTCAGACAAGTTATATCATTTAATTTCAATCTTTTTATCAATTAAAACACTTAAAAAATCTTAGATGACAGAAGAAGACTCTCGCATACCACAATTATCATTTAATTAATAATTTTTTTATTAATTATTGATTAACATTTTGAAATTAAATGCTAATTAATTTAGATGATATGACTGTCCACATCAAATATCACCTAAGATGATATACAATTATAAAATAAAAATATAATAAGAATAGGATTATTGAAATTTTGGTCATTAGTTTGGATGGTGGTGCCAACATTCGCGCGCAAGCTGTCGGACGGTTTATGGTAAAAGACGAGACTACCCTCTTAGTTTTGTCGTGAGGGAGGACAGCAGAGGGGGATCCCCCTAAGAGGGCGAGGGTGGTGAGATTTTTCAATGTGATCGATACATAGAGTGGTACACCACTTGTTATTATATAAATAGTTTGATATATGTGCTAAAAAATTAATAACTTAAAAAATAAAAATTTTCAATATTTTTATTAAAATATGTGATATACCATTTCTCGTGAAGGTGAGGCCCATGAGGGGGATGGATGGAGCGGCTGCGGGTTCCGGTTCGATGTTATTGCAACTGTCTCGTTTCATGTTGTTTTGTCCGTCTGTCTTTTTGCCGGTGGAGATTCCCATTTTTTTTTTAATTTTAGTTTCTATTTTTATAATTTTTTTTCTTTCAAATAATCACTTGGTCATGGTTAAAAAGCTAATTCAAAAGAAAAATATTTAGGCTCGATACCGTCTAGTGGTATTTTTTCACTTGTAAGTAAGAGGTTTTATATTTGATTCTTGTTAAAGGCAAATTTGAACCACGTTATTGCTAACTCATTGTGATGTTTGGTTCACTCTCCACCTTTTAATGTACATAATGTCGTTTATTCAAAAAAAATAAAAATATTTAAATCAATTTCAATTAGCATTTTTATACTGCTAGTTTTGTTTAATTTATATAGAAAAATATTCTACTTTAAATGGAATAGTCACTTACAAGCACAAAATAATACAGTTACTGTAGTTCTAGCGAATCTTATTATAGAGAATTTTATATTCAATTGTTAAAAATATAATATAATATTAATAATGAATTACTAAAGTACAACAAAGCTACGACTGAAACATTATAAATGTATTACAAAGACACTAAGCCAAAGACTTTTAAAATTACACACCTAGAAATGCGTCATTTTAAAGAGCTCTTAAATTTAGTATGCTAAATTTATGAAATTTTATACTTGGTCCAAACATAACACAAGTGGGGCATGAAAATATTTTTAACCACTTTGGCGGCACCCGATTCCTCAATGAGATAGAACTCTCGAAGAGTTATTATCACGCGGATTCTCTTCTCTATGCTTGATTAACACTACTATTTATATAAGAAAAAGAACACAGTTTTTGCTTTTTGGGTTGCTGATGCTTGAGAAGCCGGGCTTCATTTTTTTTTTAAAGAATTGTTATTAGCACTTCAAAATTTTCATTTTACACTCTTCATAAGTGTATTTTTCTTTCTAATTATAAAAAGTTTAGAGCGCCAAATGAGATTATTGGTGTGCTAATAACAATTCTCTTTTTTTATATTTGCTTTTTGACATTGAAAATACTGTACTAGATTTGATTTGATGTTAAGCACCGCATATAATCTTTTTGCAATTGGATTTAAAAAGGGCAGTTTAAATGTTTAATTATAATCTCTTTTTAGCAACTCTTTCGGCCTTGTACTTAAAAAAACAAATCAAAATTTTCAAGGTCAAAAGGTGTGTTCATAACTCCATACATACCTCAAAATCTCATATCAACATTCCCCCTAAATAAATTTGTTGCACTACTACTCCACTCAACCAAGGATGAAAGGAAAAGAACACTACTTGGCTACTGCAAATTCAGCAGCAGCTCACAGATGGAACATGTCCAATCTATGTTTATAATTTCAATTATTTGAAACGCATTCATCTATGATTGGGTAGAAACATGAACTATTGCTGAATTTGAAACAGCCAAATAGTGTCAAGGAAGATGAGGGAAGTTGGTAAATGTAAGTGACATATGGGGCAAAGTATTTATTGAATTACCTTGGATTGTGTTGGGTCCATGGTAGTGGTTAGGATGAGCCCTCATAACTCATGTCATAAATGTTATTCTATAGTCTTTGCTCCTTGTGACCATGACAATGAGATTACTCAAAAATTACCAACCAAAGTCATATTACCATAACATGATTTGGACCAGTCATTTTCACATAATCAACATTAGCTAACTAAAAATTTAATTCATGTATTATATATGGACCCATTCTTATGATGTGCCTTCGAATCCATGCTATGGTTTATTTCCACAAAATAATAAACCAAATAAACAACTAATATTCTAGTCTACCCAAATTTTTATTTACTTGTATATAAAATATTATGACTTGCTTAATGATCTATTGTGTGACTCATCTCAATTTCCTTTCTCTTTAGAATAAAATATCTCATTTTCTTTGTTCAGAATAAGAAAATACATCTTTATTTAATCATATCCGTTATTTTCGTTTGATTTATTCTCTTCAATGACCATATATGAAAATGAGTGTGTCAATGGCTAAAAAATGTGTGTAGTAATCAACTCCCTTTAGAATATCATTGTATAAAAAAAATGAATAAGAAAATCAGTGTTCTAAATGGTTCCACCTAGGTGTTAGGCAGTTGGCCACCACCACGATTAATCACTAGGTGTTTAAAAAATAAGAAAGACCGCCTAAGCTACCTAGGCGAGCTGGGGGTTTTGTGACTCTTTTTGCTTTATTTTTTTTATTTAAGAAAATGGCTTAGGTCGCGACACTCAATTACACAGAAAATATATAACTTTTAATGCTTGTTCACTATGTTTTCAATATGTTTTAGTACTTTTTACTTTATATATCATTCTTTTTTTTTTTTTATGTATCCAAATACAATTATGTGTTTTTTTCAATTTATTTATATGTTACATAATAAATTCAAGTAAAATTAAAAAACCAATAGGCCCATGTCTGCCCGCCGACTACTGTCTAATGCTTAGTTGTATAACTTAATTCATAATTGAAACCATTCAATTTCTTAATCATTATTTGTAGTTCATGCATACAAAAAATCGTTCGAGTCATAAATCGTTTAGAAATCCAAATGTATGGGATAGATGGCCAGCTCATTATGAATATGTTACTTGATATTCGCACTGTCAATTTGTCATACATTTGGAAATATAAACGACCTACGATACAGATGATTTTTTGTAGAGGTGATCTTCAAACGAAGGTTAAAAGATGAACATTGTGGATAATAGTATTTATAGAGTGAATATATATAAAGGGAGTAAACGAAAATAGTGAAGCTTTTAATAGCTCCAAAATGCCCCTCTCTAATTATAATTCTAAAATAAAACAATTTAATAAAAAATAAAAATTAACCATGTTTTATTGATTAAAAATAAGGAAGTTTTAACGAAAAACTTACGGTACTGTTCACTTTAACGAAAAACCATATTTTTACACTAAAAAGTCAATATTGGTACTATTCACTTTACTTTTTATTTTGTCATTACCATTAAAACTCAAAATTTTCAAATTTTTTTCATTAATTTTCCTTCAAAATAATGGATTGGACAAAGGGAGTTTTGTTGACAGTTACTTATTATCCGAGCACATGTGATTGTTGCCCCCACCAAACTTGTCCATAAACTTTGTATGTCACATGGCACACGACTATAACACCATTTCAGTGGCCACAAAAATAAATCCAATTATTCAATCACATTGCAGATTGCGGATATCTTGATCCAAACAGTGCCGTACACGAGTTCGGTGCATGTGATCGTATGGGCTCCATATGCATACTTTCTTGTTTGTGAATTTTCCTTGTTTGTTCACCTTCTTTTGTCTCGATACTCGAATTCATGTGGAGTTGCAGTCGTTGTTGTGTAACTTCAATTTCTTCTCATGTATGATGTAAAGTGTAAATCTCTCAATTCTGCAAAGTTGAAGTTTGAGGCTTAGAATGTAGCTCAATATTGACTTTGTTTCCTTCTTTTATTTCATTTCGGTGATAATTCACGGACTAAGTTGGCAATTCATCTTTTTGTTATTACCATAATCATCGTTAATTTATCTTTTGGTTTCTTCTTAATCAATTAAAAGCCATCTCATGGATAGGAATTTAGAGGAGATTTTGGATTAAGGATAGATAAAAACAAAAATGAAAATGTACAGGGTTAAGAGGTGAAAATGAAAAGAAAACGCGTCCAATCTCTTTAGATTTACCAAGTTGATGCTGGACCTCGTTGTCTGATGAAGAAGAAAAAAAGTGGTATCATGGGTGATTAGAATGCAAAGCACTTTAATTATTCAATTGGATTCCAATTGGAAGATAATTGAGTGATGACATACACACATTCATCCATTCATGTTTGTGATTCAGTTGTTTTATTTCTCTCCGAACAATTTTAGAGAACAACTTACATGGAATGGATTTATCGTCTTGCGGTGTTTTAGTTCATCAAGTAATGTACCGTTGAAATTTATATATATTATTGTATTGTTGAACTGGACATCGGTTGTGATTAAATTTATTTTACGTAAGTTATTTTTTATAAAGATGAAATTGTAGCAATGGTACCTTAATTTTAATTTAATTAGAGTAATGGACCCTTAACTAAAATTCATGATTATTGGTCCCTTAACTCTTCAAAACATGCCACACACATGAGGCTGAATCAAGGGGCAAATATGGAAAACGCAATGAGAAAAA